GGATTAATAAAAATACATTAAAACACTTTTATAACAAGAAACATTTAAAAAATTTGTGTTATAAATCCACACAATAACAAATACTCAATTTATTATGCTACTATGTTTTTCAAAATCTAATGATTAGCATTTTTTTTATCGACCGACGATTAACAATACTTATTTATATTTCTACTTTTGATCACTGAATTGTGACAAAATTTCATATTTATAAAACTTCCCATGTATTTAAATATTACTACTAAATATTAGCACAGAATAAATAATAGATACTACGACAACGAAGATGTTGTTCAATATATACACCTATAAAACATTTGCGTCAAGGACTTATATGTTTTATCGACCGACGATAAACAACCCTTATTTTTATTTTTATTCTTGATCACTGAATTGTGACAAAATTTTATGTTCATAAAACTTCCCATGTTTTAAATATTACTACTAAATATTAGCACAGAATAAATAATAGATATTGGATCAAAATTAGTTAATCGGCATATAGTGGACGCTTCTTTTTATCACTCGAAGAGTGGAGTTTTTTGGGTTTTTCCTAATACCTAAGTCCTTCGTCGGCTTTCGCTTTTAAGTTCAAAGAGCGCGCAAAACGCCGCGTATATTACCGAAATGAGGCATTCCATCCTAGTCCTCACGGGTGACAACGCATCTGCATTTTGATTCGTAATCGAGGATAGATGTAGATGTCTTTGGGCCACAGCAACCACTTACCATCAGGTGGACTGTGTGCTCGTTTGTCTCCTTATACTATAAAAAAATACTATGTGTATTGGGGTTGAAATAATAACCATTTCATTATAATTTCTATTATTTTGAAATTAAAATTTTCTGAGAATAACTGAGTCTAGATAGGTATAAAGATTCATACAAAAACCTTGGGGAAGCACGCGCCGCTTAGGGGCTTGCTTTGAGTCGGCCATGTCAGTAACCTCATATCGGCCGTAGACTATTATTTATTCTGTGACGTAGATAATATTATGTCGGCACGTGTCGGTAAGTTCAGAAGCAAATAACATTTTTAGAAATTTAATGTTTCTTAAGTTATCTTATTAGAAACCTAAAAACCCCATTTAATGCAACCAAAAAAAATTTTCATTATCATAATTACCATGCCTATGTGTACACCTATACGTCCCTGAAACGACCAACAGGGTTTTTGTTACATACTGTATAATCGGAATCTCGGAAACGGCTCAGACGATTTTCATAAAATTTAGTGTTTTCACCCGCGCGTCCCGCAGTGGGCGGAGCGCAACCGGCTGTCGGCGAGCGCCGCGTGAACACAGTATGCGCAAAGCAAGCAGACAATTCACCTCCAAACAAAAATTTTTCCTTGAGGTCTGTTGTTCTCAACACTACTAGGTATTATAGTAATAATATTTTGAGTACCTACTCACTAATATCAAAACTGTTTACAATATCGGTAGTCTGGACATCATACTACATTTTAATTATCAATATTTTTTTAAAGTCAGTTTTATGCGTAGACAGAGAAACCTATAGACTAATGATCGGCGTGGCCTCGAGTGAGAAAGGACGATAACGAATTTTTAGGTTATACAATAATCTTTATGACTTTTAAACACATTTAGATAAAATTTTTAATTGTTCTAAGAACTGAACTGAACAAGATTCACCAATCTTAAGCTCACAAAACACTTTTTTCTCACTTAAACCAACTTGTAAACTCCTTAAATCGCTACGCTGTTAAAGTTGTTTAGCAAACTGTAGAGTTTGCTTAACAAAAAAACCGGCACGGAGAAAGGGACAAACAATCACACCGCTCTATCTCATTTCTATGCAAGACGTATGCATAAATCTATCTTTTTCGTGTGCGAATGCGAAAGAAGGCGTCAATTTGTCTATAGGTTTCTCTGTCTACGGTTTTATGATATGAGCAGGTTCGTTGGCAAAATAGCTAAAATAAGAGAAAAAGAATAGTTTCAAATAAAACCATTAGAAAATTCAAATTTATTTTACTGTTTTCTATTACCTTACCTCCGGACTTGATGGAGTGACTTGAAGGTGTACTTTGGTAATCAGTATTGGAACAGGTCGCCGAGTACTACTATGTGTGCCGAGTTTGGGCTCGTTTTGTTAGGTATGATGAGTCCTTATCTCCGGACTTCACGGAGTGACCTGAAGGTGTACTTTGGTAATCGGTATTGGAACTGATCGCTGAGTACTACTAGGTGTGCCGAGTTTGGTCTCGTTTTGTTAGCTATGATGAGTCCCTACCTCCGGACTTGACAGAGTGATCTGAATGTGTACTTTTTTAATCGGTATTGGAACTGGTCGCCGATTACTACTAGGTGTGCCGAGTTTGGGCTCGTTTTGTTGAAGAATACCTAACAAAATGAGCCCAAACTCTGCACACCTAGTAGTACTTGGTGACCAGTTGCAATAGCGATTACCAATATACACCTTCAGTTCACTCTGACAAGTCCGGAGGTAGGAACTCATCATACTTAACAAAACGAGCCCAAACACTACACACCTAGTAGTACTCGGCGACCAGTTCCAATAGCGATTACCAAAGTACACCTTCAGGTCACTCCGTCGAGTCCGGAGGTAAGGACTCATCATACCTAACAAAACGAGCCCAAACTCGGCACACCTAGTTCTACTAGTCCAGGTGTTCCAGTATTAGTTACTGAAGTTCACTTTCAGGTCACTCCATCAAGTCCGGAGGTAAGGTATTATCATAACTGACAAAACCAGCTCAAAGTCCACAGCTAACTTCTCAGTGCCAGCAGAGGGCTCCCAGTGCAAAGTAGTCTCTAGAGTAGGTATTCGTATTTCGTAACTAAGTCTAATTACTCTATGTATATAAGTATATTTTTGAGGTGTAAGAAATCAAAAACAAATTCGGTCTTTCAAATTATCAAAATAATTTTATTTGACTACGATTCCCGCAGCCAACCGTGCGTAAACTTGTGTGCGTGACTCATTTCAATGCAATAGTTCGATTCTATACCTATATCAATTTTGTAAACGCGTCCTTAAAAAATCTTAACGTAAATACTGCGACAAAAAGAGTGACATGATGTCTCTACAGCACCAGGCCTCGGCCGGCAGTGACTGCACAGGCGTTTACGCAAACATCCGAACGTATTATTTCAGAAATAAGAATATGCGATTTAAAAAAAAAACTATTAGTTTGACTAAAAAATTAAAACACTAAAACATTAATGTGTTGAATGTATAAAAATCTGACAAAAAATCAGAATGATTGCATGTATACTAGTATGGTTTTTACTAGTTAAAAGAAATTTTTAGAGGTATGTTTGTGATTTTTTTCTATCGTATTAAATTAGTGGTATCATGTTTTCAACACATTATCTAACTAGCATATATCCCGGACAATATCATATATTTTTCTGGGTTTGTTTACTGCAGTGGATCATATACTTTGAGGCATTATAAAACTTGCGTTTAGGGTCATGCCTCGTCTTAAGTTCCCTTCTTTTGTGAGAAAATCTATTATTTCGTGCCCTTTTTTTTAGTATTTTTTAAAAATACGAAAATTTAAATTAAAATAATTGCACTCATGATTTTTTTATTCAAATAACCATTTCTGTTTTTTCTATTATGTCAATAAGATCAAAAATATTATTCATCAGTATGTAATTTGTATCTAAATGTAATTTCAAAAAAAAAAAAAAAACGAGCAAAGCTCGGTCATCCGGGTACTCACTATATTTAATGCTCGGTGAGCATAGTGATTAAATTACACTAGACTAGCAGTAGCGGTATAATAACAGTATTAATTGATATCAAGATTATCTAAAAAAAAAACGTAAATAATTGTTATTAAATAACTGAAATTGTATTTACTATTTATATTTTTAACCAAGATTTTTAAAAAATACACGTCTAATATATGTATAATCACCAAATTTTTTTGGATATTCCCCATAGTTGCCACACGAGTCAAGAGGGTTGCCAAACATTTTTTATTGTTTTAAGTTATTTTCAGGTGTATTTTCTTACTACTCTTTCATTCTCTCCTGTTGCCTTTTACGACACCTACGAGATTATATGGGATAGTAGATTTCCTAACGCCGCCATAGCACGGAATATAAACTCTATAAAAAAACAAAATATATACTTAATGATTTCTTATATTTACGCGAACACTATACATGATTAAAACTACTTTTTACGGATTTTATCGCGTTTATTTTTACTTTTTATTTACTTTTATTTTTATTTTTAATTCCCGACGTTTCGGGCGCTTTCCAGCACCCATGGTTACGGAGAAAATACATACTTCCAAAGTGGTTTGGTATAAATTTCAAGTACAACTGTTAACAATGTTAATGTAATCTTTTTTGATGTGAAACATCTATCGGCGTGCCTTGATAGTAAAACCATGGTCTTTTTAAACTATGTCACAAACTGACATTTCATTTCATAAATATAGAAATTGCATCAAAACGAGTTAAGTAATGGTCGAAACATCAAAACGCAACGCGATGTGTTGTGTCGACACCCGACGCTCGTCGTGCATATAGGCAACACGCCACGCTATGCTACAACACTTACCTATCGTGTAGTGTAGTCTCTCACGAAAGACTGAAGTGTATTGACGTGTGACGTGGCCATGGATTCGATTCTGCTTGAAGACGAGCTAGATGAAGATTTTGAAGAAGATTTATTACAGATTTTGGGGATATATTTTGTACAGAAACAGTTAATAAAAAAAGACGTACTAGACGCAGACGGTACTGGGTTCATGAAATAAATCAAGACAGAGCTATGTACGGTGAATATCACACCCTTTACAAAAAATTGGTTAAAGATAGTGAGAGATATCATATACATTTTCGGATGAATGAAACTGAATTTGATGTTTTACATGACTTTATTAAAGATGACATCTACAAGAAAGGAACAAGTTATCGTGAGGCTATAAGCACAAAAGAAAGACTGGCAGTGGCTCTCAGGTAAGAACAAAACATTTTCTTTATTATCTATGCCTATTCATTATTATTATAATTAATATAATCTTCTCTCAGACTTGTTTCGTCACTTTCGTTTTCAACTTCTTCATAATGTGCTACATTGTCACTTACATCTTGATGATTCGTTACAAAAAAATTGGTATTATTATTCAATGTTCGAGCTGTTTCGGAAAGTACTACATTGTTACTCACATTTTGATTATTCGTTTCATAAAATTGGGTTTTTGATGTTACAGTGTTTTTTGTATTTAGATGCGAAGTATTTGGATATTGTATTGTTTGGTTCCGAATCACACGTAGCGGCGTCCTCAATAGTTGTTCGCGTGTTTTTAACATATTAATTTCGGCATCATGTATACGTTTATGCATTTGAAACTGAATATTAACTTTGTCCATCTCAGGTAATTTTTTTAATTGTTTACTCATGGACAGGACGAAATAATCTGTTGAATCCATCTCTGATATTCTCTTTTGTCGCGCTTCTTGAGAAGATTTAATAACATTAACCATCTCTGCCACAACATTGTCTTCATTTCCTTTCTTATTTCGATTTGATGAAGAGGTTGGAGTCGGAGTCCTTACAGAAGAAGAGCTTGGTGTCGGTGTCCTGACAGTAAAAGAGCTTGGACCAGGAGTTGCATTAAAACGAGATGATTCGGTTTCATTTGAGAATTGCAACTCTTGTGTTGAATCGTCAGTTACATCAGACAAGTTTGTGGTCGTTGGTCTGCCCTCAAGGTGAGACCTTAAAAATTCCATCCGTGCTTCGTATTTCCATGGTACAATTTTAGTTGAGGCTTGGCCACTCTTCTTATGGTATCTCTTAAGGGCATTGGTAAAACAATTTCTCAATTTTCCCCATCGATCTTTGCAAATCTCCACTGGAAAAAAAATAAAGAACACAATAATAAATTTATAATTGTAATTTTTTCTTTTGTTGCAGACTTTTAGCCACAGGGAATTCATTTCAATCATTGGCATTCAATTATAGAATGTGATTCACCACCGTGCGAGAAATTGTAAAAGATGTCTGCGAAGCAATTTGGAACAAATTGGGCCCAATATACATGCCAGAACCCACCACCGCGATGTGGAAAAAATCTGAAGAAGGGTTCAGAAATTACTGGAATTTTCCTAATTGTTGTGGTACATTGGACGGCAAACATGTGAATATTACTTGTCCAATAAATGGTGGTTCAGATTTTTGGAATTATAAAGGAGAAAATTCAATAGTACTCCTGGCATTAGTGGATCCTAAATACAAGTTCTTAGTTGTAGATGTAGGCTCATATGAAAAAAAAAACAGTGACGGTGGAAAATTCAATAAATCTGCACTTTAGAACAAGGCAAATTAAGAATGCCTGCTGATAAATCTTTATCTCCCGATTTGGAACCATTACCACACGTAATAGTGGCAGATGAAGCTTTTCCCTTGAAGTCGTATTTAATGTGGCCGTATAGTAAGAATGATGTTCGCAACAATGAACCTAATAAAATATACAACTACCGGCTAAGTCGTGCTAGACGTATCGTTGAAAATTCTTTCGCCATTTTAAGAGCAAGATGGCGCGTTTTCGCCAAACCTATGGACGTACAACCTGATATGGTGGACAAAATTATTTTAGCAACATGTTGCTTACACAATTATTTAGGTATTGATACTTTGCCATCTCACTGTCAAACACAAGATGATAATGAGACGCCATTGGGACCTACAGCTTTGGAGGACTTGGACACCTTACGCAGAAATTCTATACAACATGCTTTTTTCTCTCCGAAATAATTTTAAGGAATATTTTAATTCCAACGAAGGTGCAGTTCCGTGGCAAGTAGATATTGTAAGGAGAGGAAGACAAAATACTTTGTAAATCTGTGTTAAAGTGTATTTTATAATAAATTGAATTGAATAGCAGCTTTGTATTAATTTTTTGCTGCTGTTGCTTTGTTGCTGAGAAAAAGGGTCTTGAAAGACAGACGGACGGACAGACAGACGGACAAACAAAGTGATCTTATAAGGGTTCCCGTTTTCCTTTAGAGGTACGGAAGCCTAAAAACAAGCAGGTACTTACTAATAAATGTATTAATGAGGTACCTATTTTTATGATAAATAGAAACTGTATAGGTACTGATAGAAAGTAGGTAAGTAAATGGGACAAATTACATTTTATTGAAAACTTACCTGTAGTATGCAATTGTTCTGCAATTTCTTCCCAAGCATTATTTCGAATACTATGATCACGATAATGAACTGAACTCATATCATATAACACTGAGTACCGTTTCACTAATTCTATTAATCCTTCATCCGACATTTTAAACCAGTTTTTAAACAAAAACTAACAAAAATTTCTTTTCTTTTATCATAACCTTAAAAATGTTCTCGAAAGAATGACGCGTGGCGTCGGGTGTTAACTAGAAACACACTGCGCTGATTCGTCGGGTGGCGTGTGCCCCCCCCTCTCCCGGCAACACGGTGATCCAAATTGATTGGACGTTGCGGCGTGTGGTCACATAGCGTGTTGTCTATGCGCTTCTGACTATATTAAATATATGGAATTGATAAGTACTGACATGCGTCGGGTGGCGTGGCGTAGCGTCACGTTTTGGTAGTATGTTTCCGCCCTAATTTTTTTAATATTTTTTTTATATATATTTATTTTATTGGTTTAACTTTTTCACATCTGTCCAGCTTCATGTGACGGCCAACTTTTTAAGTCAAACAAATTTATCCAAAAGTTCAACAAAATATTGTTAAAATATCACGTAACACAAACGTCTCTAATTCTTATTTACATGACAAAGAGGCTTCAGTTAGACACGGGCGCTACTACCGTACTAGTGTAGTTGAGTGTGTGGAAATTCTAAACGTTCGTATGTTAGTAGTGTAGTTGTGTTAGCAATAATTTCTCTTCATTTCAAAACGAATGTCACAATTAGATATACAAATTAGAATTAAAGTTTTTACAATTAAGACCATATGGGCTAGAAAACACAGTATTTCTTAACCACGATCCTGCACCTACCTGTACGTCTGTTCATTTTGCAACGTTCAGCCCCCCCTCTATAAAGAACTAGCCTTACATTATTATATAAAAATTACGTAAATGGGATAAACAACTATATAAATTGATCTTTCCCAAGGATCTTTCAAAAGGCTTAGTTATTGGCCGTTCAATAAATTTATGGAGTGCTCATTTTAGTTAGAACCCTTATTTATCTTGTGTTTGCTTATTATTGCATTTTAATTGTTTAATATATTACTTTTAAGATATTTTTGGACTGCTTTATATAGAAATTAATTATTATTTATTATTAATAGTAATGTGACGTAACAGATTCATCAGATCGTAACTGAAGCTACCACTCGGGAATCATGTTTCTCTATCGGATACTCTCTTATTGGTCCAATGGTCGAAAGTGCAACTGCTGAAAATATTTTCACAGGTTCAAATATTTGATCGGGTCAAAATCTATTAGATTTTTCTGTCAAGAAATTCCTAACAGCAGCCTGAAGTAAGGATTTTTTTAATAATAATAAACTAGTAAGAAGTTGTATGTCACGAAACTCTTTCCTCCCTTTTTAATGTTAATACATATGTATATTTTTTATCTCATACTATTAACTCGTTACTTTGTGAATGTATATTTCTTTTGGAATAAAATATCTTTAACAAATGACAAACAAACTCACTGTCCTTCTGATGTTGTGTGGCTGTTGCAGTCCATGAACATCCACAGCCTATCTATACCATTCAAACGAAAACACAGCAGCGCAAACACTGTCATTTGGAACATAATTAGGTAAGAGAGTGGTAACTTTTTGGTTGGTTTTGGTAGTTTTATTTTCCCCTGTTGCCTCTTATTACATCAACGCGATGATATGGGGTAGAGAATTCTTTAATGCCGCCGCCATACGATAGCTATGTTAAATAACTCTCTACCCCATATCATCGCGTTGATGTAGTAAGAGGCAACAGAGGCAAATTAAACTACCAAAACCAACCAAAAGTTACCACTCTCCTACCTATTTCTGTTACCGAAGTGAATGCACTGCTGTGTTTTCGTTTGAATAGCATAGATAGCCAGTATCGGTGTTCATGAACTGCAGTAGCCACATAACACCAGATGGACAGGAAGTTTGTTTGTCACTTCTCGTTTTCCAACTGTGGATATCCTCGTCATAGTTTTGATCATGCAGGTTGCGGAGAAAACCCTTGACATTGCCTTCTTCATAACTGCTATATTTTTTGAGCTCTTTACTTTGCTCGCTTGCTACTGGTTTATATTCGATAATCCTGAAAAAAAAAACTCTATGGTAGGACCGTTATTAACATATTAACCTGAATTACTGCCAGATACGATGTGAAATTATTTATTACCATCTCGTTGGTAGCTGTGCCAACAACTTGCAAGTCATGTGCGACATAAGGGAATAGATTTTGCATATGAAATTTGGAAGTGAATTTCTCTTATAGATATATACTTAAACATAGTTATATACTTAACGTAAGATTGCTATTTGAATATTGAATTTATTTAAAAATAAGGAAAATATGTTAGAGATTTATAATAAGCCTTTATAGATTTTTTTACAAACATGTTTAATAATTAACTGATATTCTTACTTAAATTCGATTAAAAACCTATTTTTATTTGTAAAACAAAATCAAATTTTCAACTCAATTTCTGCCGGGAATTGCTATACGTTTTTATTTAAAAAGTGTAATTATAGATAAGAAAATGGACGCACAAACATGATAATCGCCCCAGGGGGTAATTTGACAAAATTTGAGAGGAGGCCTACGCCCAGTATTGGGACGTATATCGGCTGTAACTTAACATTACTCAACTTATATAAAAATATTTACTAAATATTTCGCACTGCGATAGTGAAGTCAGTTTTATAAGTACTTTTTATTTTTTAGTTTTTAAATACGTTACTCCACACTATAATGTACTGCTGTATCATGGGGACAGTTCACATACATAAATTACACGAGGACAAACATACAGACCCAAAACAATTATTTGTACGCCGTACACACACATATATTCATACTTTCTACAGTTGTACACAGTTGTATACAGTTGTATACGAGTTGAATCCGAGGCCGACAGTGCCGCAGCTCATTGTTTTATAGAGTAAGTGTGACAAGCGAGTTCAAATTCAACCTTATGGCAAGTGGATGCTGTGGCCCACAGACAGATCTATCTTCGATTACAAATCAAAATTCAGATATCTTGTCATCCCTAAGAACTAAAATGGAATGCCTCGTTACCAGCACACTCACCATACGAAACACAGCAGCATTGCCAAGCCATTGCTTGTTTAAATTGTTCATTCTCACTAAGACAATTTTGCCACATAAATGAGAACTTATAGCTAATTCAAAAATAATTACGAATTTAAACAGCATTGTGATCGGGGCAAGGTGTGTCAAAAATTAAAAATATTCACCAGTACAGGATATCCGTAAAATTTTAAACTATAACCGATAATACACGAAAGTAATAGCAAGATTATATTAAGTAAATGAGCTACAAAACGTTTTAATATTGTTTCGCGCCATAATTAATGCCTGGTACATACTATGCTAGAACTTTTCTACACCTAGTCTGTCGGGACCGATATGTGCTCGAACATTCTAGATGTTTCAGTGGAAAAGGCCTTTATAAGGCCGGTTTAGACTGTGACCCGGTTTAGTATTGAATTGGCTATACAAGCGCATATTTGAAGCGATATAACTGCAAACTAAGTGTTAAGTGTGATTAATTATTAGTGTGTTTTAATTTGTTATTGGTGTTCGTATCGGTGTCAATTTTGGTAATTCCATCGGCATATTTTATTGTCCTTAAGCTCGTAACAATATCGATAAGTTATTGGTACGCTAGGAATTTAGAGATTAAAATCGTCTATAATAATGTCCTTCAGATAATGAGACACTAGAAAATCTTTAATTAAAACTGTTTATAGGCAGATATTTAAACTATCTGAACGAGTTTTAACGAAAGCATATATTTTCGATAATTATTATCAAGTAGTAATTTGTTTAAGTTACAGCCTATATAAGCCCCACTGGTGGGCACAGACCGTGTTGGCGAACTTCACATGTCTTCGGAATATTTTTTTATTTCCCAGATATGCAGGTTTCCTCTCGATATTTTCCTTCACCGCCAAGCACGTAGTAAATCATCACTTAAAATTGCAAACACTACAACCATTACATTGATGTCGGCGGGATTGAATCCAGTTTGCTCGCTTACTATGAAATTTATAGCAAGCGCTAACGATCTGAGCTATAACGAGGCTCAATTTGTTTAATAGAATTTGCTTGAGTAGTTGGTTGCTCGCCTCCATGGCTCTCAGTAGCGGGGGGGTACACTTCCATACTTTAGCTTGGGGTCAATAATTTGCGAAGACACTAGTGCCATCTTGTACGATATCCGCATAAACTTTCGAACATTAAATTCTCAAGGGTGCGCTAGATGGCGGCTGCACCAATTCTGGTTATTCTCGAACTGACAAGTAGCAACTTTATATTATGACATAATGGTTACCGGCATCTCAGCAAGTTGTTGTCTTATTATAGTTTATAAGTGATTTTCGGTTGTTGCTACAATAAGTTTGGTTGAGTTGGATTAGCCCTCTGTTTCTTGTTGTCTGTTTAGATTTTCATGCTGGAACCACATTGTATGTTTGTGTAGTGTTGTGCGAAATAGACGCTTTCATTTATGATTCCGGTAACCGGGTGGACATATTTAATTTGGTTTGGTGTTGTATTTTGCGGAATAGACGCTTTTACATGGTGTATGTTAAATATATATAACAAAAAATAAATGTTAATATTACTGAAATCTATAACACGTCTTTAATTGAACCCTGATCCCTTAAAATATAAATATAACCGCCCATAGTATAGATAGCTGTATATACATAACTACATACAGCTATCTATAGTCAACATGATATTAAGATTAGTTCAAGGGATATGATACCAGACGGCGACACTATTCATATTGGGTGACAAAAAATCCTAGGAGATGGCTCTCTATTTCTGTATATATTACTCTACTATATGCTAAGTAGCCAATTACAAAGCTTTAATACCACACGTAGTTTTTCACTGGCACAGAGTACTTTCTAATGTAGTCACTGGAGTTTTAAATAAAATTGTTTCGAATGTTTGAACAGAAACTCGTTGAATGCAATCCGTTATTGTCAATAGTTATTTAAACGATGCAGTCATCTATCTTTGTCGTATCCCAATCATTTTTAGAATCTTGAACGTCGTAACCTCATTCTATAGAACGC